TATGTATTCCGTTGTTCTTGTATATGGGACACTTCTGCACTTCCTTGGAGGAGTACCATTACAGGGAAACCAGTATATCCGGAATTTTTAAGATATGTGTGCGGCAATGTGCCGGAATTCAGATCCAGAATTCCGTATCCGACTTCAGGAAGACATTCCGGCTGTGTGAAGCCGATCTTTAATGAATATAATTAGAAAAGAAACACCTATCTCATGAGTTACTACACTGACGGACTGGGCTAGTTTCAAACAAAGTCTGACAGAAAAAATAAACTTATCAGTAGGTACCGTTGCCGTTACCCAAAAGTAATCAGAGATCTTATTGTAGAAAAAAGGAAACTAAGAAGGAAATGTCAGCAAAGTCGCGTGAAATTTAAGAAATCAAAAATGACTCTATAAACAATTAGCTAAGTGAACTCACACATGACCAAAAACACTGATTATTCCCTTTGGAAAGCAGCCAAAGGCCTTAAAAGACCAGTTACCCAAATTCCACCCATAAGAAAGTCAAATCAGCAATGACAAGGAGTAACGAAGAAAAAGTAGAACAAGACATTTAGAATTTAGAAAAGACATTTCAGCCTAACGAAGCACAAGATGAAAATCTTTCATGGAATGAACCTCATCACGAAAAAGACCACATCAAGCCTACTTCACGAAGAGAAATATAAGCAGGGATCAAACAAAATATCAGTCCGAAAAAAGCTTCAGGGTATGACCTAATTTCTGGAGAACTAATAAAACATGGAAGTAGAATTCTGTAACGAATAGATATTTTGGCTCTCGTCCCATCTCTATTGATTTCGAAAAGAGAGAAGACAGCAAGTGCCATAGCGATAGGGATAAAAATTTCTATCCATTATAGAATCCCGCCTCCGGAAAGCTATTCTGTAACTGTGCAACCCTTTCAAAGCGTCCTAGGCTTAGATACGTACCTTAACTTTGGAAAGTTGCAGAAGTTATCATGATACCAAAACCTGGAAAATCACCTAATGATATGTCATCTTATAGGCCAATATCATTAGGTCTGTTTCTGCAGAAATCACAAACTAGTCAGAGTGAATTTCATTGGTTCAAACTAGTTTTCTGACTGTTCTCAACCAATGAAATTCGCTCTGACTGGTTTGTGATTTTTGCAGAAACAGACTTATTATTGCCAGTTTTATCCAAGCTCTTTGAAAAGATACTGCTAAAAAGAAAAAAACCAATCATTAGAAAGACAGGAAATCATTCAATCATCAATTTGGATTCCGCGACAAGCACTCTACGCACATTATGCGGTGATAGTATATCACATACCGAGGTGGAAAGTGTTTCATTACTGCTAAGACCGAGGCGCAGCCGAGGTCTAACTAAAATCTCGAGACAGTAATGAAACTTTCAGCCGAGGTATGTATACTATTTTATTTACCATCATTCGAATTTTGTAATTTTCATTTGAATGAAAACTAAAAAAATACAATAAATAGCAATTTCATTTACTTTCGACCCACGGGAGGAAAGTATAAACTTTCGACCCGTGGGTGGAAAGTAAAAGTCGAAACATACAATAAATTTTAACAATTTCATTTACTTTCGGCCCACGGGTGGAAAGTAAACTTTCGAGTTTCGACCCGTGGGTGGAAAGTAAAACTCAAAAAAGTGACATTTTCAATGTTTTTAAAAGTCAGAAAACTTGCTTTAAAAGAAAAACAAAACTGAAATAAACAAAAAACTCTTGTTTCCATCAAACGGATTACGTTTTGTTTTCTCGGGGAAACAAAACTCCAATTGTCTCAAAACACGCTAGTCATCTTGAAAATGTTTGGGAAAAGTTTGAGTTTGGGTTTTGTTTTTGTTTTGTCTGTTTGGTGGAAAACCGGCATTACACACGTACTATTACATAATATACAAACAATTTTCTACTACCAATAAAATATATGAAAAAAAAATAAATTTAGACAAATACTTTACGCACAAGTGCGTAAAGTAAAGTAATTTACTAGAATAGTGATCTATGCAGCAAGTGTGTAAAGTGAACTTTTTTTGAATTTTGACAAACGAGCCGAAGGCGAGTGCGATAATCACATGAGTGAAAAAAGGTGCTTTACGAACGTATTGCATACAAAATTTTTTCTACTACCAATCAAATATGTACCAGAAATTCTTTACGTACTAGTGCGTAATGTATTTTCGCTTTACGCACTAGTGCGTGAAGTAATTTACCAGAAAAATAGTAGAGTAATTTCGGGGAATATGGAATAGTCCGGGTAATATGGAATAGCTGCTAATTTTTTTGTGGGTGGCGACATCTGCATTTTTATACCTAAGCCGACATTATTCCCACCCTAAACTATTATTAACCTCATCAGTTTTCAACAGTTGCCTTTTTTTAGTTCGCAAAACGTCATATGATATTAAACGTGTTTATCAAGTTTTGCAATTGGGTTTTTCAAATTTATCTAGTGGTTGTATTTGTACAAAGTTATCGCTCACTCTGGCAGGTGAGTCTGTCCTAATGTTCAGTTACTCTTTTAAGTTGTTAGTACATTGTTCTCAAAAACATATTTTCGGCATGTATTTTTTTCTCCAGGTGGTCTTTCGGGTATTATGGGATATTCCATTGCGGCGGATGGACCCATGAAGCTACCACATCTGGTGCAAGAGATTTCTACGTTTGTGATTTTTGCCAGTAATTAGATGAGTTATTTCTTTGTTTTTTTTGTTTAATTACTCGTTATTAAGAATTAAACGTATTTTCGTTTTTTTCTTCTTATGATTTACTCTATCCCATATTACCCCATATGCCTATTCCATATTACCCTCCACTTTTTTTCAGCACTTAAAAGTGACTAATTTGACAGTTTATTTTCTGAACTGATACGGTATTTTTATAATCAAAACTGATTATAAGCTACTTATAGATAATACCCTGACCTTCTCATTTACCAAATTTGGGAGTGAAAATTGTATTAATCTTCCAGTTATTCAACAAAACGAAAATGGTATTCGTATTCCATATTCCCCGAAATTACTCTAATTTGACAGTGTCGACATCTGTCATTGACATTACTTTACGCACTAGTGTATGAAGTGAATTTCTTTACGCACTATAGTGCGTGAAGAGAAATTTTACGTCTTCTGAATAGTGCGTAAAGTAAGTACTTTACGCACAGTAGTAGAAAAAAAATTACAGTGTCGACATCTGTCGTTGAAATTACTTCACGCACTAGTAGGCAATTTTTCGCGAGGATAATCATGGGATAATCAAGCATATTAGGCCGGAATACACACACGTTATTTCGCGCGGTTTATCGTGGCGTGTTGGGATGTAGCGGTTTGCACGCGCGAAAGAACGACGTGGCAAAAAAAGCGTCATGTTCCATACACTTGACGAAGTATTCAAATGATTTAGCACGTGATTACGCGCGGCATATCAGTTGGAAAGGAAAAACCGTATGTGTATGGGTAAAAAGTGTCATTTATCGTGTCGTTTGGAAGTGCATGTTGTCATGTACTAATTTTCAACGTGATAGTTCGCTACGCAGCGTTTATGTCTCCGTACTAGCCTCAAAACCGTGACGTGGAATGGCGTGTGGACACGGATGTGAACTGCACTATCATGTCACGGTGCCAGATGAATGCACGTAAGAAATCCCTTCCCATCCTATCATTGCGTGCGGCCCTCCTCACTCACGTACATGATTTTTCACAGGTTTTTGCAGATGACACGATAAACCGCGCGAAATAACGTGTGTGTATGCCGGCCTAATCTGATTATGCTGGGTTATGTGATGTGTCAACGTCAACTGTGTCATACTCCCTAAGTCCCTCTCCATTCAATTCTGGGCCTGCGAGTGACGTCACTACCAGCAGCTTATAGTGATGACGTCACCCGCAGACCACGATTGAATGGTTGCGATAGCTGTGCTAGTGAGTTGATTTTGTCGTCGATTTCAAATGTAGAAAAGGTGATTTTCGATCTGTTCTCACAGAAGAAGTTAAGTGTTCTTGATCCTCGAGTATCCCAGAATTTGATGATGGGTGAGTTAGGGGTGTATGACGTATGACACAATTAACATGAAACCCTAATTCCCTAATTGTAAATAAAGAATAAAGTTACTTTACTGCAGTGTTTGGTAAAGTAGATTGCAAAGTTTGCGGTAAAGTAGACTTTGGTATTTATAATCAAAAATCCCTTCTCTAGTCTGTAGATGCTCATAGGTAAAATTTTAACTCCGCTTCGCATTATTCGCATTGGTCGGTCAACTGCGTGCGGTAACGTATCACTTTCCGCATTTGTTGGGTAAATAACTATTGAATCAATGATAATCCGAACAATCTAAGATCCGAACCCATTCCAGTGCCTACATGTGAGCCGCTTTCTAGTATGGGAGTGTGACGCCCGGAGCTACTCGGGGCGTTGAGCTCCTGAGCGTGGCTGTACGCATAGAGAAACAGACTTTTTAGTCTGTTTCTCTATGGCTGTACGTACACGTCAACCTGTCAGCTGTCACATCCGTGGGTGGCTATTTATTTATTTATTTCTTGTTATATCTCAAGATTGAAAATTTAAAAAATATGTTTTTCTCCAAACGTCAGAAAAACGTCACTTTGTTAACTCCTGTCAAGATGTCAGAAATTTGATTTCTATGCTGCTAGGCAAATCAAGCGTGTTAACACCTGTCGAGGTGATAGAAATTCAATTTCTATGCTGCTTGGCAACCCCAGCGGCAGCAAAAGTACTTTTAGTGCCGCTGAGTAGAAGTACTTTTGGTGCCGCTCGTACTTTTACTGTCGCTCAACCATCCACTTGCCCCCGAGCTTACCCCATTAGTTTGGAGAAAAAATAGCGTGTTGTATTAGGAGTAGAAGCACTTTTTTGTGCTTCAGCAGTATTGCAAGCCTCACTACGTTCGGCTTGCAAACCTACCGCTTCAGCACAAAAAAGTAAAGCTTCTACTCCTAATACAACAATATACTATTTGATTCTCTTTCATTTATGATAAAAGCCGCTTTCCAGCTGTGTGCTTCAAGCACGGTGCAGCACAGTGTTCTGTGTTTGAAACGCAAAAGTTAGCAAGTCTCGAAGCGCAGTACGGCTGGAACACGATCACGCGCTTGAAGCATTTGCCCGAGGTGCCCTAGAGTGCGCCGTGGTGTTGCCAAATTTCTTAGGCGCGGTTGTTGGTTGTTTTACCCTGGGACACGAAAAGTTGTAGAGAAAAAGTGAGGTTAGAACATTGAAGACAAGCAAAGAAAAAAAAAAAAAAATTCAAAGGAAACTTAATTTACAGGAAATATTCGTTAGTTATCAGCCTCCGAAATGCGTGTCACTCAAATCCTCTTCAAGCAACATATAGGATGGCATTTCAAAAAACATTGGCTTGTCCAGGGCAAAAGGAAAGTGGTGGAAACTGGAGCCGAGAAAATTTTGAGACAGAAAGGCATCGTCGTTAAAGACCCCACTGAGTTTTTACGCGAAAAAATTCCATTTGAAAAGTAAGGATTTGCCTTTATTCTCATTTTAAATGATTATGAATTATCCTTTTTTTTTCTAGATTTGAAGTTGTTGGTTTCAAAGATAAACCAGTACCGTTAGACGAAACCCATCCAAACTGGCACGAGAGGTCTCTGCTAACATTCAAAGATAATAATGTATTGCTCGAAGGACTAAAGCAAGCGAAAATTCTCACTAATACAGTACAAATTGAAGAAGGCCTACCTGAGAAGTACCAGTTGCAAGATATACCTAAGGAATTTAATAGGAGGGTAAAGAAAATTATTTTAAGCGCAAACATATTTGATGCTGAACAGAAAAAATTGCCAATAGTTAAAGATCCTGCAAGGCCTGCTTTTACTTTTCCTAGAGATTATGGAGTTACTCAGAACAGAGTATTGTAAGTTGAGGGCATTAATAGTTACTTACTGATGTCACATCTCTTAAGCTAGAAGAGCAAAGTCAGCAGAATCGAAAATCAATACATGGAACATTAAAGGCTAATTAAATGCCCTAATGAGAAATTTAAGGCTCCTTAATTTTTCGCGAAAATGACTGTTCTGCTAGCTTTAACTTAAGCTAGCACAACATGAGCGAAAAAGTGGCTAAAACAACGAAAATTGAAATTCCACTTGCACAGACATTAAGGGCTCTCGAAATACACCAATCCCAAATATCAGGCTCAATTACTTCTTTTTGTGAAAATGCAAATAGCGCGATGAGTGAGTGATGTCGGCCAAGCATGGCAGAAAAACCTCTCAGACGGTGAAAATCAGTTTTCCGATAGTGGAGTCGTAGTGAATACATTAAAGGCTAATTAAATGCTGTTATAAGAAATTTTAGGTTCCGCCAATTTCATGGCTACTCTGCTGGCTTTAACCTAAGCCAGCAGAACATAAGCGAAAAAGTGGTCAAAACAACAAAAATCGCAATTCCACTTGCACAGACATTGAAGGCTCATTAAAGGCTCTGGAAATGCACCAATCGCAAACTCAGGCTCAATTACTTTTTTGGATTTATTGAGTTTGGGAAAGTCTGATTAAAATTGCAAAGTACCCAAACAGGTTATTATCGGTAAGTTTAGAAATGTCTGAAATTCGCGATTAGTGTATTTCCGAAGCCTTTAATGAGCCTTGAATGTCTGTGCAAGTGGAATTGCAATTTCTGTCGTTTTAGCCACTTTTTTGCTCAAGTTCTGCTGGCTTAGGCTAAGGCTAGCAAAATAGCCATTTTCGCGGAAACTAGCAGAGCCTAAAATTTCTCATTACAGCATTTAATTAGCCTCTGATGTATTCACAACGACTGCACTATCGGAACACTGATTTTCACTGTCTGACAGGTTTTTCCGCCATGCTCTGCCGACATTACTCACATATCGCCACTTCTCGCATTTTCCCAAAAAAGTAATTAAGCCTGAAATTCGCGATTGGTGTATTTCCAGAGCCTTTAATGAGCCTTTAATATCGGTGCATGTGGAATTGAAATTTTCTCTGTTTTAGCCACTTTTTTGCCCATGTTCTGCTGGCTTAGGTTAAAGCTAGCAGAATAGCAATTTTCGCGAAAATTGGCGGAGCGTAAAATTTCTCATTACAGCATTTAATTAGCCTTTAATGTATTCACTACGACTGCACTATCGGAACGCTGATTTTCACCGTCTGAGAGATTTTTCTGCCATGCTTGGCCGACATCACTCACACATCGCGCTTTTTGCATTTTCACAAAAAAAGTAATTGAGTCTGAAATTCACGATTGGTGTATTTTCAGAGCCTTCAATGAGCCTTTATTGTCTGTGCAAGTGGAATTGCAATTTTTGTTATTTTAGCCACTTTTCCGCTTATGTTCTGCTAGCTTAAGTTAAACCTAGCAGAACAGCCATTTTCACGAAAAATTAAGGAGCCTCAAATTTCTCATTGGGGCATTTAATTAGCCTTTAATGAGCCCTCAATGTTCCATGTATTGATTTTCGATTCTGCTGACTTTGCTCTTCCAGCTTAAGAGACGTACTGATGTCTTTGCTATTATTTTCAGTAAACTGTTGGTGAGTAAGCTTTTGAACCTGATAGAAACTTCTTCAGATCTTGATATGGTCAGACAACGTTACTTTGCAGATAATGTTTATTTTTCATATCCATTTGAAAGAAACGGAGATCTTATTCAGTTTGAATTAGTAGGAGACACAGTATTGCTTTCAGAAAAACCTCTGAGCCCCATAACAGAAAAAAGTACCAACGAATTTGAACTTCCTGATATTTTTCCAATTAAACCTACCCTTACATTAAACCAGGAGAATATTTATGTTGTGGAAAATAATTATCGTAAGTGATTAGGTTTGTACTAATACAAAATTACATTTCAATGTATATTGTCTTAGCTATCAACAAAAATGCTCCCAAATATTATCCACATACTTTATTCATAAACTTCGATAAGGAAAGCGTGAAAAATTTGTTTGAAGAAGAAGTAACAGAAGAGCAAATACATGGAAGGAGTTTGCTGAAAACATTCACAGCAGCCGCTTCTCATGCCAGAGCCAGATTTGGGGTGAGATTTGAATTAAAATAATTCACATATTAAATAATTTCCTTTTTAGAATGATGTCAAAAAGTTGCCAACTCCAATAACGTTGCAGTCGGTACAAACCGACGGAAAAAACTTTTATTTTGGAGTGCTCCAATTGAATAATTTGGATGTTGAGGGCTCAGAACTGAAGAATATTTGGTACCAAATTCCTTCTATGCCATTATTTCATAAATGCGCCTATGAATTGGGTAAACCTATACTTGGAGGGTATAATAAAAATGTTGTGAAACATTTAATTTCTTTTTACAATAATGTTTGATGTTTTATAGTTTTAAGTTGTTGATTTTGTATAATAAACTAATAAATTTTAATAATTCATTTATTTACGGCAAGGCCAATTAGAATAGTAACATTTCACAATATATAGGTTTCACAAGAAAGCTAAACCTTAGCACATAACAAACAACATCCTGATGACCAAATTTATAACATTATAACTATTCCATTGTTGTGATTGTGAATTCCGAAAATCAGACAACTTATTTCAAGAACTATCCAGTAAGCAACAGTAGCAATCTCCTTCTAAAGGCAACACCAGAAGGACAACCAAAGATGTCATTACTCTGGTTCATTGAGTTGGCAAACCTGACCTGAGCACCCTTGAGATCAACTCATCATATCATAATTAGTATTATTAGTCAGAACCTCTCACTCTCCTTTCTCCTGGTCTCAACAAAACAAACAAGACCCAAAAGATCTGGGCAGTCAAATAACCTTCTCAAGAGTTTGTAAAGGAAAGAAAGCTCCACCTGGAGTCTCCTGCTTTGCAAAGTATGAACACTCAAGAAAGCCCTTATCCCGTTATAATACTCATTATGAGCCAAGCACAATATTTGTAAACAGCCACCGTTAGAAATCTATCCTGAACCCTTTCCAGAGCTGAAATGTGAACAGCATATTGGGATGACCAAACAACTGATAAGTATTCCAACATGGATCAGTACAATGTGCGCAATGTACTCACAGGCATATCAGTAGTGGACCTATAAAGCCCAAACATCTAAGATCATCTGCAAATGACAAAAATGAGCTGTATGCAATAGAACTATCCACATCGGATATGAACAGATTGAACAGGATTGACCCACAGTGAGACCCCTGGGGTACGCCAGAAGGAACGTCAAAGACGTTCAAAAAGCTGCACTTCCACAAAACCAGGTAAGAACCTGTACTTCCACAAAACCAGGTAAGAACCTGTACTTTCACAAAACCAGGTAAGAACCTGTCGACAATGAATGGTTGAAGCTTAGGCTTGAAGAGATTTTTTTCAGGGGCGTCGTAAGGGTGTACAGACATTTCTCTACGAAGCGCAAGGGAATTCCATAGTTTTTTTTTAGGATAATTTTTTATCTGTTCTATAATCTCAGCACAAGAAACAAAGTATCCAGAAACATCAGTGACATTGGAAAGTGAGTATTCCGGAGCCTGATCTAGTAGAACGGCTTGAGTAAACACTAGAAAAGAAGTCCACAGTCTCTTGATTACTACAGCTATTAGAGCCGTTATAACTCATGTTAACAAAGATATTTCTGAGATTGTTGAAATGTGACCAAAATGATCTAAGATTCCCATTATTATTTTCAGTTTTGAGCAGGAACATTGTTAGTTATAACTTTAGAGAAACATTGATACTATTTTTTTTTCATCAAGAAATTAGAAGATACATTTGGTTAAGTGATTTGTCCTCAGAATTTTTGAGTTAAGCAGCCAAGAGCCAGTGGCGGTCCATAGATGATTTTCTGGGGGGGGTAATGGATGACGGGAAAATCATTAAATGTCAAATGGCTTCCTGCCGGAGGCGAAATTTTTTTAAGGGTGCCACGTCCAAATTTGCACCTGAAAATCGTCTGAAACACACCTCAAGCAAAAATGTATCCCGATGCCGGCAAAATAGTTATACAGGATGTCCACTTAGTAGACGATATCTCCTTTCAGGGTAATGCAAGAAAAAAAAATTAAATTACAAAGTTGTTTGATACTCTAAGATCCATTAGTAGTTTAAAATATTTTTGAATATACACAGGGTGTTCCGTAAATGAGGTATGTGACAGACCTTTGTTATTTTAAATGGAACACCCTACATTTTAGAACATTAATGGATTGTTCTAACAATCCTATATACTTTTTCTTAGGAACTACCTATACCTATATATAACTACCTATACTATACCTATACTAATGGATCAATTATGTGCACATCTGTGAGCAAATCTATAAATTTCTATAAAAACTCGACCCTTTTTGAAATATTTGAAACTTTTTCAAAAAATCGAAGTTCGCACTAACCCAAAAAGTGGGACACTCGACTGACAGGTCTTGTAATTTTGCATAAATCAGTCTATTTTGCGTAAATCAGTCTTTTCTTTTCAATGGATTTTTTGTCAAATATGACAATTCCTGTCATTGTCTTAGGTATAGCTGGGTGAACCCGTTTTACAATAGGAAAAAACGGGTGTCCCACTTTCTGACTCTGTGCTCATGACTGATAATTTATTGCATAATATTGATCATGAATTTATTTACTGTATTGAAATCAAGCCAATAATCGGATTGAAATTTGAACCCATCACAAGTTACGAACGCCTAGGCTGTGACGTCATACCGGCTTTGGAAGTACAGTTTTAACACGTGCAAGAATTTTTCAAAACAAATGTCCACGATCTCATTAGAGCGAATGGCAACCACTCAAAGTATAGGGCACGGTTCACTGAGGACTGAACGAACGGGAGGCTGGCATTTCGGCGTTTAGCCGGTGTGACGCTACAAGTGTTCGCATAATTTATCTGCATAAAAAAACATTCAGATTTCATGTATTCGAATGCAGGAAAATTTCTACATTCAAGTACTTTTTGAAATATTTGAAACTTTAAAAAAAAATCGCAGTTTGCATGTGTCAGTGTCAATGCATGTATCAGCAAAAACCAACACATTTCATTCATTTGAGATCCTTAAGCTAAATCTTTTGCAGGCTGTTAGTGTATACTTACATTTACTTCATGGTCCTATGAAAATCTGATAACATTCTATAGGGTGTTCGCAATACTGTAACTGTACACAAAACCAGATATTTCAAACAACCATAGCTTTTTTTTCAAATGAAATACCTTTTATTTCACTGTATAGTAGTAGGTACAGTTGCGATCAAAAAAAAGTAGTACAAAAATTATTAGCTCCAATTTGAGCTCCCGGTGTAACATAAAAAAATTTGACAGGCAATGACATATTCTAGGTTAAAAACGGGTGGAAAAATGTCAAAATAATGTCATCTAAAGCTTTCTAGGTTAAAAACTTGTCGAAAAATGCCAAAAATATGTCATTTTTGGTTATGAATTAAATTAATGTATAATAGACCAGGAAATTTTGGAGATTTTGCTTGTACTACTTTTTTTTAATCGCAACTGTACTGTACGTCGATACTGGTGAGCCTATCAATTTATACAATGCCTTCTATGCTTTACTTTATAGAACTTGTCTTTTGTTGAAATTTTATTCTTAAGTGTTCAAAAAAAATCTTTGTCTGGGGGGGGTAATTACCCCCTCTACCCCCCCCTTTAAACCGCCCTTGCCAAGAGCTCAAAACTGAAAAATGAAATTAAACTTAAACAAGGAGCTACTTAAACTTAATACCTTCATTCATTCAGTTAAGTTTAGTTTCATGACTCACTTTTTTGACCAAATATCAAATCAAATTAAATCAAAATATGCTTTATTGTAAAAAGAGAAAAATATCTTGTCTACAAAGCCGAAAAATACAATAATATAACAATAAATTAAATTTCAGAATTCAAAGTTTTATCATCAGAAATAAGTTTTCATCCCTCTCATTCTTCAGGAGTTTGCGCCAGTGCCTTTTCTCGAAATATCGATTTTACCGTTTGGCGCAGCTTCCCCTAGCTAGCTGATCTCATCTCAGTTGCGACACAAAAAGTAAATCAAATGCATTTGACTTTAAAGTTTTTATTATGAAAAGGCAAAACGTAAGAACACTATCTTTAGTAGTGACAACATTTACATATCTTTTAATTGGTGCTGCTGTCTTCGATGCTCTCGAGTCCAAAGAGGAAGAAAAAAGAGATCAATTATTGAAAGGTTTGTAGGTGTTTAATCTCAACAGAATGACTAACATTGATTATTGTAGTATCTTCAAGCTCACTCAAAACAAAATACAACATTACCGAAGAAGACTACAAAATGATCGAATTAATGATAATCGAATATAAACCTCATAAAGCCGGTCCTCAATGGAAATTTGCCGGGTCTTTTTACTTTGCTACTGTTGTCTTAGCTATGATTGGTTACGGTCATTCTACACCTGTAACTGCTGGAGGTAAAGCATTCTGCATGGCTTATGCAATGGTAAAAAAATCTTTAATTTCTTCAGTAATTTTGACTCATGAAGCATTTCCAGATTGGAATACCTCTGGGACTTATCATGTTCCAAAGTATCGGTGAACGTCTTAATAAAGTAGCCTCAATAATAATTCGTCACATTAAAAAATACTTGAAATGTGACAAAATCGAAGCAACAGAAATGAACTTAATGTTTGCAACTGGTATGCTTTCTACGATTATTATAACAACAGGAGCTGCCGTGTTTTCTAGATATGAAGGATGGACATATTTTGATAGTTTTTACTACTGTTTTGTTACTTTAACTACAATCGGATTTGGCGACTACGTGGCTTTGCAAAACGACAATGCTCTAATCAATAAGCCTGGATATGTAACATTGAGTTTAGTGTTCATTTTATTTGGCTTGGCAGTTGTTGCTGCCAGTATTAATTTACTTGTACTCAAATTTATGACAATGTAAGTTATATTTGGTTTTTAACTTCATCACACCAGGAGATTGTTATTTTAGTGGTCCTGAAGAAAGTAGAAAAGACGATCAAGATCTCCAATCGTCTTCGCATCATGTTTTTGCTTTAGATGGCGAAATGATGAACGCTAATGGGAAGTTACTTGCTGGGCATCATAACTTCATCGATGATGATTTCGATCAAGCGTCAGTCTGCTCTTGCAACTGCCTTGGATTAAATCATGCAGATAATGAAAGGTAAAAAGGAAATCACATTATGATGGAATATATTTATTTTTTTTGGTTTCCAGGCTACTTTTAGATAATTGCTATCATCCTTCAAACATTCTACTGAACGCAAGTTTGACTACAAAGAGAGCTTCTGTGTGACATTTTCTGTTGAAAAAGAAGAATAGCATTTGAATAAATCATCAGAGGAGAAACTCAATAAACGCAAAGCAGATAATTATTGATTATGAGCTGGCTTTCTCATCAATTCCTAGGGAACTAGAAATTTGATTGGAAAATCTTAATTAAGAATGAGCAGTTAGAAACGCTTATCAAATTTCTATATTGATCAGTGGAAACTACAAAAATATAAGTTTAATAGTTGATGAAGAAATTTACTCTAAACTTAAAGTTTTTATGCTACTAAACGTATGAATTAAAAATAATTTATGTAAAAGTTCACATATTTTATTTTGAGTGTTTCCAGACCCATCCAACATTTATATTGGGAGATTTCAACTTCCCCAACATAAAATAGGAAAATCTAATCGTTTTCCCACCAGATAAAAAAAAAACTGATGATTTTATGGATATGTACCAAAAATCAAGCGCATCTCAAATAATAAATTTTCAACGGACAGATTGACAAGACCTCAAATAAAAACTTTAAAGGAGAGAAGAAATAGAGGAGACTTAATTGAAACATACAAAATAACCAGTAACTACTATACTTGCAATATCAGAAATATCTTTGTAAAAAACCAAAGAACTATCTTCGTAGGCACTCCTCCAAGAAACTCAAAAAAGAAAAAACTGCAAAACTGCCCTGGGAGAGCAGACAGTGTGAGCAGCAAGTGTCAACGCATTCAGAAATAGATCAGACAAAGAACTCAAGAACTGCGCAGTTAGTATGATACACTACAGCACATAGACAGTTTTCAATACAAGAAAAACAGATTTTTAAACGCTTCATCGGTTTTACCGCCTGCTATTGGACAGATGACATGTTTCATCCAAGTTTTTCCTACTTCGACCAAATAGAATAAAATAATATCTATTACCTCATGGATTAAAGTCTATTCTAAGACAAGAAAAATGTCATTAAAACAAAATACAATAACTTTATTCATCATTATCGAAAAGTAAATACAATTACATGTGACTAAAATCACTCAAATACTTCCTAATATTAAATCCAACCATTCTGGAAACACTTTGTATGGTTTCGAAGTTTACATTACACTTGTACTTTCTGTCGTCCAAAGTTGAGGGATCTGATGCAAGCGATAGCAACTGAAGTTCCACTAAACTGGACACTTGCACCAATAAATGATTATTGAAACCAACTTTATCCTCTAAAATCGAATAAAAAATAGCTAACAGTCTGTCCAAAGTAAACGTGGTTGGGCCCATTTGCGTGTTTAATTTATCGGACACTTTATTTTTTCTATTTACATCTTTTCTGGTCTTAGTTTTTTTGCCGTGGTACTTTGTGAATAATCGTTTGTCGTCTTTAGCCGAATTATAGCTGGCTAAATATGCAGCTATTAGTAAATATTTGGTGTAGAAAGGTAGCTCTAAGTTTTGGGCTAGAGGTTTACTAGAGTCATTTGATGTTCGTAGATATAATACTTGCATGGAAGCAGTGAAAATTGGAGAAATGTGTTTCCACAGAGCCATTGAATCATGAACTGTGAGTTGGTTTTTGTCAATGGGCTCGCAATAAACTATAAAGTTTTTTCTGCTCATGTGACGTAATTCACTTAAGTCTCTACAAGCTCTATAAAATACTGATAAAAAGACATTTAGGTAATTTCTGTAAAAGTCCCTATCACAAGAAGTGGATACATTTTCAAGATAATCAAAATCAAGAGCAAGAATTTCTAATAGCTCATCTTTAGTATATTGAGGAAAATGTAACTTGAATGGCTCCAAAATATTTAATTTGTAATAATACTTTTCAAATGCGATTTCTGATAAGAATATAACTGAAATTTGTACATTTGTTAACTCTTGTAAAGTCAAAAAACCTGGCAACAAATTAAACTCCATATTCCTAAGTTCCTCAGCCTTATCGATAACTATCACAGATCCTGCTAAAGACATTTTTTGAATATGCTCCACAAAATCCATAAGATTGTCGCATCTAGCAAAAGGGGCTCCTATTTTGGGATCGATTTCGTGGCCAGATAATTGATTCAAAATAGATTCGAAAAGAATTTTAGAAGTGTAGCATTCTACTAGATTTATCATAGCATGTTTAATGGAAAGTGCCTTTAATAGAGCGCTTATTATTGACGATTTGCCTGTACTCGATCCACCAGAAATATATAGAGTTGGAGGAAATGGTTCTCGGGTAGTGCCAAAAAAATTCCATAGTTGATCTATTTGAGATGCTCTGCCTGGGAAGGATTTTTTCAGGATGAGGAGGTTTTCGTCCATGATACTGTCTGGAAAAATCAAAATAAATAGACAATATAATTACTGATGAGACGTTTTTGATAAACAAAAGAAGTGTCTATCCAATCTTTATATGATCAACACTGTCTCAAAAATAAGCAACAAGAAAACTAGTTATGTTATCTTACCTAGTTTCTATACGAGGTTCTGGGACTTAACATTCAAAACACACAGTCACAATTTATTAATCCAAATGTTTCCATCGATTACATTTTCATTTCTAATTTCTGTTTGTTTATTTTTGGTTTGGCGGGAAATGCGGGAATGGGAATTGAAAAGATAACCAAACAAATAAACGGATGAATGAAATCATCTGACCATCCTGACATCTTCTTTTTTACCTCCGACATGGCAACGCTGCTTGGAAGGGTAAAATCTTGAGGCGATTTCGGCAAGCTTTGGTACATGGTTTGGTACCCTGTTTGGTCTGTCAAATGCATACCAACCAATTTCGGATACGAAAATGATGTCGTCACCGTGACTTTGGTATACTTTTTGGTCTGTCAAATAGGATACCGTGGTCAGCAGCACGGTTCTTCTATTTGGTATAGTGCTATCTACGTCTATTTTCGTTTTGTCCTGCTCTGGAAAATGTAAATAAATGGAAGTTCATTAGAATTTGAATAATTTGAAATTTTTAACAAATATGTTTGTTTTTTCGCCTTCATCTTACTGATTTCTCGTATGTTTTGACTGCCAAATAATGTTTGACGATCATTTGAAAAACGGCTCTGAACGACAGATATGAGGTAACTTTAACAGCTTCAAATTTACAGAAAACGCTGAGTTACTCAAAGGTACTGTCTAGACAGTGCTGATTAGTGATTATACATTTTAGTCAGTGCAGTCAGTACCTAGTCACTCCCAAAACTAGAAGAACAACACAAAGTTAGGTTAAGGCTCGTCTCTTCCCCTCTCCTATGACCTACCAAACGAATTCGGAACAAAATGGTATCTTACGTCATTACTATGACGTTGCAGGTACCAATTGGTTAACCAAATGGTATACCAACCAAAGCTTGCCGAAATCGCCTTTGGTATCTTACGTCATTACTATGACGTTGCAGGTACCAATTGGTTAACCAAATGGTATACCAACCAAAGCTTGCCGAAATCGCCTTTGGTATAGGCTTTTTACGCTATATTTAGGATGACGTCACATTTAGTAAATTTCTGCTGCCAACCTAACAAAACCAAAAGTACTTTTCAATGCATTTAAAGTAGGGTAATTTCAGATGTTTTTGGTTGGCAACGGCGCGCGACGTTGCATGATTTATATAAACATTTTCAAATAATGCGTGTCGATTCATTTCGTTATTTTTAGCTGTCAGTCGTTTTGATAATTTATTATTAACTATTTTGTATAATCCTAATTAAGTGCCAAAAATACGTTACAGTTAGAAAAAAGTTCTTTCAAGAACTTCGTAGCGTAAACTTACTCAGAAAATGCCAGCAGGTTTGTCGGAGTCGGCCTCAGGAAAGGGTAGTATACTTAATAACGTATTTCCAGCAGGAACACGACCATTTTTGCTTCTTCTGCTGTGAGGCATATGTAAGTAAATTACCTATTTTCCGTTTCATTTGACAGAAATGACCTATCTATTTTTACCTGGTATGCGCGCGCAACATGAGGCAAGTCTTTTTATTAGCTAACTAGTGCATTTCCTTGTCCTTGTTCATTGCTCGTGGTCTGACAAAAATAAAAGTACGGTTGATATTCAACTTGACATAGCTTGACAAGTGAAACTCAGAAGATTTGAAATTTTCATTCATAAATACGTTGCACAACACGCGGTTTTTCTTCTTTTCTTTTTATCCCGTGCAAATAAGGAGGACGGATTGGCATACGTAAGTTTAACAAAATTTGGTACATTTTGCCTTGTCTTGCGCAATGAGCGTTCTGTGTCTTTTTTTATCTAATGAAGTTTTCGTATTATTACCTTTTTGTTTGGTAAAATAGATAGGTTTACTGTCACGTGACATTCTGATAAATTATAAGAAAAAAAATAGGCATTGACAACATTGTCTTTTTTTGTTCTATGACGTCATCCTAAATATAACGTAAAAAACCAAATCAAAGGCGATTTTCAGCCTGGGATGATATTTATCGGTAAATACCATAGACAATAAATACCGTGGTCAGTGTTGCCAGATGAATTTAAAAAAAATCGTGAGAATCAAGAAAGAAAAATCGTGAGACTATTAAAATTGCTTAATATTGTAAGAAAATAAAATACAACGTTTTTTCATATATTTTTGACAAAGTAAACATGATTTTACATCCATAAGAAATAAACATTTTATTATTTAATCTTGTATCCTTGTTTTTTCCGTTTTTTAGCAGGTGCTTCTGAGTGCTGAACCTCGTTTTCACTATCCGCTATCCGCAGGATTGTTTATCTTAATAACGTCGATTCTCGAGGCGGCAGCTGGTCTGCGAGTGACGTCACCACTATCAGCAACCGATAGTGGTGACGTCATCCGCAGACCTCGATGGATTGTTTGCGATTCAGGCTGTGCTTGTGAGTTGATTTTTTTTGGGAATTTTAAATTTAGAAAAGGTGATTTCACGCTTATGAATCCGTTTTTTGGACTCGGATAATGCATTTTCTTCCAAGAGTTGAGGTCTACAGCTGACGTCACAGATAGTGGGGTCTCGTGGACTTGGCAAACACTTTCAGCTCAATAAGCATTCCTATATTACGTTAAGTGTTCAGGCGAGCATGTACCAGGAGCAGCGTAACATAGCTAAATATTGTATAGTAGATTTTTATTTCGATCATTCTCGATTACATTATATTTGATTAGTGATTTGATTTATTACAGAGACAATTCGTGAGAATTGCTACCTCATTCGTGAGATCGTGGAATTCTGACCAAAATCGTGTAATCTTACGAATAATCGTAAGATCTGGCAACACTGACCGTGGTTATTCTTTTGGTTGACAACTTTTTTGACAGCCACGTGTGACGTCATAGCCTCCCACCATTCAAGAATCATAACCCAAGGAACTGACCGCTGAAATGATTTGGTTATAGCAGTCTAGGATTATTGTGCAAGGCTACAACGCAACTGCAAAATCACAAAACACCAATACAAATTCCAAAAATAATAACAATAACATCAAAAGCGATTTTCAGCCTGGAATGATTATTATTTTGTTATAACCAATGCATTTCCGCCGTCGCGGTTTTAACCAAAGTAGGAGAAGTTGTGACGTCACATATCAGCTGATTTGCTTTTGGTTTTTACCACTTATAACCGATTATAACCCAGCTTTGGACTTGGGTTAATCTTTTGGTTACAGCTTTTTGATGTTATTGTTATTATTTTTGGAATTTTGTATTGGTGTTTTGTGATTTTGCAGTTGCGTTGTAGCCTGGCACAATGGAAGAAGTAGAAGTATACATTCACTCACTCACTGCAATTCACCATGTTTAGATCGAGGTTTAGAGCATCCCCAAAGAAAATCTGTTCGATAAACGAGAGTAACGCGAGATTCACCTCCATTTTTTGTACCTAAACAAAAAACTATTGTTGAAATGAAAAAACAAATAAGAATAATAAACATAATCCTACACCCTACACTGCTATAACCAAATCATTTCAGCGGTCAGTTCCTTGGGTTATGATTCTTGAATGGTGGGGGGCTATGACGTCACACATGGCTGTCAAAGTTGTCAACCAAAAGAATAACCACGGTATTTACCGATAAATAATCATTCCAGGCTGAAAATCGCCTCAAAAAGCTTTAACCAAAAGATTAACCCAAGTTCAAAGCTGGGTTATAATCGGTTAAAGTGGTAAATACCAAAAGCAAATCAGCTGATATGTGACGCAACAACTTCCCCTACTTTGGTTAAAACCGCGACGACGGAAATGCATTGGTTATAACCAAGGCTAAGTTCCGATATCAACTGCCAGTACTGGATTTATTATGCTGATTTTACTGTCATTTGCCGTTCCGATTTCAACAGCATATACTCTTGTGGTCATTCAGTAATTCAGCACTAAATCAACTGAATCCAGTGTACTGAAAATAATATCGGAACGGCGTCCAGTAAATTCAGTACTGACAGTTGATATCGGAACATAAGCCAAATAATAATCATTCCAGACTGAAAATCGCCTCAAGATGATATACACACTACTACCACAAGTTGGCACAGTTCACAGTTTCTAAAGTCCAAAGGTAAAGGTAAATGTATCACCTTTCCTTATCAAATAGCACTGAAAGGTGATAAATTTTACCTTTACCTTTGGACATCGGATTGTAAATAGATTGTAACATTGCAACACTGTGCTAAAATTTCATTTCACCCTAGTACTAGTAAATTTTGTGGTAGTAAGTACTGTGAAAGTTCATTTTTCAAACAGTGTATGCACGTGATCAGTGACGTCGAAATTATTGCCAATTGCAGTTTGTAAGAAATTAAGATTCGTTTCAAGCTGAGAGCTCATTCTCCTTTTTATTTAACCTTAGTTAAAAAAAGACAGAACACTGTTGGCATTTAACCGAATCGGCCGATAAAATGACATTAGATTGGCACTCATGGGTTATGTTGCCAAATATTGCTGCAAATCTGCGGTTACTGATTTTAATAATTTGAAATTATTTCTATTTATGTATCTATAAAATGCCAAAGCCATTGAATAGGAGTCAGAAACTCCTTGTGTCTCTAATTAGTTTCTTTGAACAGGAACGAGATAATGGGGGCCCCTTTTTGCCATTAAATAGCGTTAGAGAGGTGAAGTATACCTATTGATACTATCAAATATACATTTTCTGGGGCATTAATTGGGAATATTATTCCAGCTTGTTGCAGCTGCACTGAATATTGGTACCTATAACCACTGTGAGTAAAATCCAATGTAAAATCTCTCAAAAAGTTAGGGATAATTTAGCGTTAAATTCACCAAGGAAAAAACGTCCACATAAGAAGCGGGTTACGAATCAAGATCACCTTGATGTTAGCTCTATTCGCAATCAAATTTACGATGAAAAGTGAGTAGTTTTTTTAGATTTTTAATTAATTCCACTATACGTATTGATGTTTTAATTCAAATTTAATTTTTTTTCTCACGACGCTCTACATTTAGTCACAACTGGCAACAGCGCAATCAATCCTACATTACTGGGTTCTCCATTCGAAGGTCGATCGAGTGGACGCCACTGGTATTTTCCTGTTTGTGACTACCCCCTCAATCTTTCCATGTTAAGGCCCATCCTCAATCAATTTGGTAGCGAAGTGGCACTTCGGCACGCAAGCTAGGAAAATGTTGTTTAACGTTGGCATCCTCAATTCAATTCCGTGCTGGCATGCACGCCGACTCCGAAGTGGAAGCTTGCAAGCTTTTTCGATGTGTGCCGGGTGCCGACTTATGTCATGCGTGTCATGCGCAGTACGGTGAAAAATAATTTAGGTTATCCTTGCGTTCGGTATTTTGCTCAAAGAGCAGAGCGGAGCCGTAAGCACATGACCAGCGAGCGCACAGACCAATTAACCTTGCGTTCGGTATTTTGCTCGAAGAGCAGAGCGTGCTGAGCGGAGCCGTAATCACGTGACCAGCGAGCGAACAGAGCAGTTGAACGCTGTATAAAAGTGCCGGAAATTTTAATAAACGAACGCGAATAAGGATACACCGAGTACACTTTTTAAATAAACGAACGGTAAAGTCAAGCTCGGAGAACTCAGACCAAAATAACAAACGCACGGTAAATGCTGTATTCAGAGGTTGTCTGTGATCAGAGGGCTCGAAATTTTATTAAACGAACGTGAATGAGCCTACACCGAGTGCACTTTTTAAATAAACGAACGGTAAATTCATGCTCGGAGAACTCAGATCAAAATACCGAACGCACGGTATGTGACTATTCTACACGCACAGCAGACTGAAAATTGACAGCATTGAGGATGGGTATCAATTTCCCAGCACGCGTGCCAAAGGGCACTTTCCAAATTTCACCGATAAATTGACCGGTTAAATAAACCGGTAGCTGTCAAAAAATTCCGGTAAAAGTTAGGTGTAAGTCCGGTTACAAGATTTTTCTGATGCATTTTGGAACGCTTTGGTGTGTTAAAATTTGGTTGTGACAGTTGGGTTGTGACAATTTAACGAACGACTGCCGCTAGGGCCCATTTAAAGCAATTGATGTACGTCACAAAAAAAGTGTCAAACAATTTCCAACCGAAAAAACCGACAAAAATTCACCGGTTTCAAACAGCTGATCATTCCGGTCAATTTTGGAACGAACGATGTGGTTCAACCGGTCGGTACATTTTGGAACGGTTTGGTGAGTAAACTATTAAACCGGTATTGCACCGGTTCAAAAACCGGTGAATTTTGGAAAGTGCTCAAAGTGCCACTTCGCTAGCAGATTGATTGAGGATGTAGCTTAGTATGAATTCAATCCTATTATAAGGCGGTTACACACGGACGTGGATGTCTAAAAACATGTACGCACATACATGAACGCGCAAACAAAAACATCAATGTGTATGCAAAATACCGTCGCGTTTTTGAATGTGGAATCGCTAGAAATTTTGTATGCGCACTCGGATTACTGTAGCAAGAATAGCAAAACTGCAGTTTTGTGCGAGCGTCTGTACAAACGTGACATGAGGCGGTTACACACGGACGTGGATGTCTGAAAACATGTACGCCCATACATGAACGCTCAAACAAAAACATCAATGTGTATGCAAAATACCGTCGCGTTTTTGAATGTGCAATTTTGTATGCACACTCGGAATACTGTAGCAAGAATAGCAAGACTGCAGTTTTGTGCGAGCGTCTGTATAAAGGTGCCATGCACGTTGTTGTTTGCACGTAGATGTATTAAGACATCCACGTCCGTGTGTAACCGCCCATGCACGTTGTTGTTTGCACGTTGATGTATGCACGTATATGTATCAAGACATCCACGTCCGTGTGTATAACCGCCTATATGTACAGTTTTTCAATAATCATACAGTTTACAGTTTCCTATGTACAGTTTTTGGATAATCATACAGTTTTGTATATTTTCGTATGGTTCTCCATTCGTAGGTCGATCGAGTGTACGCCACCAGTGGCGACGCCAGAGGGGGCCCGGGCCCCCCCTGAAATTTAGCCGCCCCCCCCTGAAAACTTGCCATCATGCCGGCAACAACGTAACACAAGGGCGGTTACACACGGACGTGGATGTCTTAATACATATACGTGCATACATCAACGTGCAAACAACAACGTGCATGGGCGGTTACACACGGACGTGGATGTCTTAATACATCTACGTGCATACATCAACGTGCAAACAACAACGTGCATGGCGCTTTTGTACAGACGCTCGCACAAAACTGCAGTCTTGCTATTCTTGCTACAGTATTCTGAGTGTGCATACAAAATTGCACATTCAAAAACGCGACGGTATTTTGCATACACATTAAGGCGGTTACACACGGACGTGGATGTCTTAATACATATACGTGCATACATCAACGTGCATGGCGCTTTTGTACAGACGCTCGCACAAAACTGCAGTCTTGCTATTCTTGCTACAGTATTCTGAGTGTGCATACAAAATTGCACTTTCAAAAACGCGACGGTATTTTGCATACACATTAAGGCGGTTACACACGGACATGGATGTCTTAATACATATACGTGCATACATCAACGTGCAACCAAGAACGTGCATTGCGCTTTTGTACAGACGCTCGCACAAAACTGCAGTGTTGCTATTCTTGCTACAGTGTTCCGAGTGTGCATACAAAATTGCACATTCAAAAACGCGACGGTATTTTGCATACACATTGAAGTTTTTGGTTGCGTGTTCATGTATGTGCGTACATGTTTTAAGACATCCACGCCCGTGTGTAACCGCCTATTGATGTTTTTGTTTGCGCGTTCATGGTATGTGCGTACATGTTTTCAGACATCCACGTCCGTGTGTAACCGCCTCAACACAGCAGCCTGTGCCGGTTAATTCGATATATGGTGGGTACAGTCAACCGCAACGCTGCTTTCGCTTTTCTCTGGGATTCCCTCAAGAAACGTAAACTAACAGATGTGGAATTCTGTAACGAATAGAGATATTTTCGCTATTGCCGTCCCCTCTCTATTGATTTCCCAAAGAAAGATGAAGACAGCAAGTGTCATAGCGAAAGTGATAACGATTTCTATCCGTTACACAAGCCCGCCTGGATTGTTCATCCTCATAAAGCTAACTTTTCATGCATCCGTTTTTTCGTCATTTCCATGATCCGGAAGTATTCCTATTGGTTCAATATGTTGGCGCCAAAATATTGGACCAAGGAATTGCCGGATCATCGGATTGACGGAGAAACGGATGCATGAAAAGTAAGCTTTAGGGAGGATTTTCATGCATCCGTTTTTCCGACGAAATATGTCCGTTTAACATTCTATTCTGACATAATCGTATATAAATATGTCAAAATAGAAGACTTTTCGGACATATTTCGACGGAAAAACGGATGCATGAAAATCCTCCCTTAGGGTGGATTTTCATGCATCCGTTTGTCCGACGAAATATGTCCGTTAAATCTTCTATTTTGACATATTTTTATACGATTATGTCAGAATAGAATGTTAAACGGACATCTTTCGTCGGACAAACGGATGCATGAAAATCCACCCAAAGGCCGGAGTTTCATGCATCCGTTTACGGACGAAATATGTCCGAAAAACATTCTATTCTGACATAATCGTATATAAATATGTCAAAATAGAAGACTTTTCGGACATATTTCGTCGGAAAAACGGATGCATGCAACTCCGGCCTTAGGCGCACTATCAGCAACTTAAAGCCTAGTACTCATAACCGCGAAATTTGCTCTTTTTTGACATTGCTCCGACAATTTGACGTTTGATTCACGCATAAAACGTCAAATTGTCGACGCAATGTCAAAAAAGATCGAATTTCGCGGTTATGAGTATAGTGGTGACGTCACCCGCAGACCTCGATGGGATGCTTGCGATTCAGGTTCGGCTTATGCATTCTACGCTGAGAGTTGAGGTCTGCGGCTGAAATGGTAGACACTTTCAGCTCCATATATGGTCAGCTTCCTATATGGTCAAGTTTTCTTGGGATTCCCCCAAAAATATTAGTGTCGGCTTCCAAACAAGTGCCCCCCCTAAATTTTTCTGGCCTAGTCTGCCCCCCCCTAATGTAACACCCTAGCGTCGCCACTGGTATTTTCCTGTTTCTAACTACCCCCTCAACCTTTCCATGTTAGTATGAATTCAATCCTATATACGGTTTATGAATAATCATACAGTTTTGTATATTTTCGTGTGGTTCTCCATTCGTAGATCTACAACAATATTATATTGTGTATTTAGGTGGAAAAGTGACACATTCTCGGCCGACGGTGTAAGTTGACGGGCGAGGCGTAGCCGAGGCCGGCAAACACCAAAGGCCGAGAATGTGCTTTTCCACCGAAATACACATACTATTTTTTCTGCGATCCCTTAAATACCTGTTAAATATTTATCTTTTAGTTCCAATTATTCAGCAATACGAGAATCACTTTTCCGGCCTAGGCCGGAAAAGTGTTTCTCGTATTGTTATTCATTGATTCTTTACAACTATTGAAACATAATTGAAATACCAGAATATTGAGTTTTGCGACCTGTCAACTAGTCAAAAATGCTGACATTTCTTGTCAATCGCAGAAAAATATGTTGTTGATCCCTCGGAAAAAGGTTATCCTGCTGTAACGAAAATAAGGAAAGGAAATGTTGCAGGTGGTTGAATGAAGTGAGCATGTCTCTATTTAGTCTTTCTATTTAAATAAAAATTAATAAGTATATTTATTTCTCTAGTAACATAAGTATTAACGTACCAACTATAATTATTACAAAATATAAAAAATAAAATAATTTTCACACTGCGGTACAGTTTTAGGCTTTTTTTTTCAATGAAATACACACATCAGCTTCACATAAAGAAGTATAATTCAACTTTGAGTTTCCCACATTTTTTACAAAAGTGTGAAAAGCGCCACTTATCAAACATAAAATATTACATCTTAGCTATCAATCAGACAGGAGAACACAAAAATAAATAGACAATAGGTACCTATATGTTTTCAGATAAAATCACAAAACAGTCAGAGCGAATTGGTTGAAAACAGTTAGAAAACTCTTTGTTGGCGATTTGCTCCAATCAAAAACATTCCGACTGGTTTGCGACTTCTGTGAGAACAGACCGAATATCCACCCTAGTGTATTAGTAAGCAATCACAGCATTATCTCAGTCCAGTTGGCACTTCAAATAATCTTAATATCCTAGGAATAATTTAAAAAAAACAGTTAATTTTTCTGGTTTAGAAAATATGATAGCAAATCTTACTTGAGGCACATTTAAAGTCTGCATAAAATACTGTATAACAGCGTCAGCGAACCGCTTAATGCAATTGATACCAGGCTCTGTGTTCCTTAGGATTGTTTTTATCTTCTCTTGATTGATGGTATTATTCCATCTGCTGGTCGCTACCAATGAGTCTTGCTGAATACTTTCCACCGAAGCCATTTTTAAGGATAATGTCCAAATTGTTGGCGGATCCGTGAGGACTATCCTAAAGGAAACTGTACCGTCATCATACACATCTAGGGTTTTCATATTATGAAGCCTAAGAAAAATGTTTGAAATTATTGTTTCTGTATATGATATGTAGGGGTAAAAACTAATGGGGATAATAAAAATCATCCTTTTTAAAAAGAAAAGATCCTTAGTTGAGCTGCAGAACCTAAAACATACAACCTGTCAGAACCATATATACAGTGTTGGCCCGAAGGTATATAATGATTTGCCTAGTAAGTAGTATTAAGGAAAAAAAGTATCAAAGGGCTAAGGGGAAAATAAATAAATGGAAAGTGGGTAAAAAATTAACATTGTTACATAAATTTGTCGCACACATATTAGGAATAGGTAGGGATATAAAGCTTTATTTTCTGAGTAGAATGTTTATTAAGGATTGAAAGTGTTATTAGTATTACTGTACTGTTGTTGTTATGGTTATTATATACTTTTTATTTTTTATATTGTAGTGGTTTATAGCTGTTGACTATATACTATAGAGTAGTTAAGTAAAGGTAGATAACCTCAACTAAGTAAGTTTAATTTATCAAGGGAACCAGGTGTACACACAGTATTCTAAGTACCATAGTGCACCATATCTCATTTAGCAGGGGTAGGAAGATAGTGAGGATTTACTACAGCAAGGGTTATTATTATTGTATCCACATTAAGTTGTAGTATATTTATGGATATTGTGAACTATTGCTGAATAAATAAATAAATCAATAAATAAATATGCAAGTTATATGTACCTTGTTTCTATAAATTCCACAAAAAACTCCGAACTCTTTTCAGTTACTATAATGATGTGATCCAAGAGAGATAACATGTCAAAATTTGAACCAAGAGCCGACTTCAAATTGTCCATTTGCAGTTTATTTATAATAAAACTCGCTACCAATTTGTACAAAGCTGGCCAAGCAGACTTGGTCCAATCCACTGCGATTGCCTCTGAAACTATCATTTTTTCCACGGTCCCATCTGCAGCGTGCAACTTAACAGAACACCAAACTAAATTCGAAAATGCTGAACATAGATAGTAGTTTTCTTCGAATTTGTGTAACTCTATGACTTGTTTTTCATTGTTTTGAAAAACATCCATTATTTTTTCGTGTAAGGATTTGGACGATTCTTCGCTGGTGTCGAATAATGAATCCCCTAGTAACACACCATCTTCTGTACTTTGATCTTTTGGGGAGATACAATTATTGTTGCATATGGACAACCTTTTCACTTTTTCAATTAACAGAGACTTTTGCAACTTAGGACTTCTCGATTCTTGTTCAAACTGTAGCCTGATTTTGGCTTGTAAAGCTTGTCCCTCCTTAATATCTTCCAATTCACTAGTATAATCAAATTTGACAGGCTTATATTCAACTAATGGTAATGAACTATATTCAGCTAATGCTAATGAAATATCTAAAGTTTCTATTTCAGATGTGTTTCTATTGGGTTTCGAAAATGTTGCCTCAATTAATTGTTGAGTACCGTCCAAGGTACTGTTTGGAAACTGTTTTTTGCCAGCTGAACTCAGTAGAGACAACCCAGTAGTAAAATCTAAAAATGAAGTGCATCGTTTATTACGCATCGGCTCCGAGTAAATTACTTTTGGAGGGGTGAAGATATTTGTACAATCCTTATCGTGTAAATCCACAATGCTTAGCTCTTCATCTATGTTAGGCAATTCAATATTTACTGCTTCATGTATTGACTCAATTCGTGGTTGTTTTACTTTTGTTTGGCTTTGCTCCACTTTACTATTAGCAACAATAGAAACATGACCAAATGGAGTTCGTTTATCTTTGCCCTTCTCAACTACAACAGTTTTAGATCCTAAGCGGAGTTCATTAGCAGAATCAACAAAAATTTCAGGATTTTTAAAAGGCGCCGCATTTTCCTGTGTAGTTTTATTTTCTACTGGAGGATTTATGGATTCCCTAGTGAATTGCTTATGTGGTTCTCCCAAAGCCAAATTCTCAGATCTAGTTGCTTTTTGTAATGATTTTCTGGTAGAGGGAAGTTTGTCCAATGTTTTACTTTCCTCCATGATACTATCAGCAGCAATATGAATTTGACCAAATGGAGTTCGTTTATTTGTAATTGCAGGGATTTGGGGTTCCAAACTGAGATTATTAGTTGAATCAACAAATATTGCTGGTGTTGCTTTTGCAACAATATTTTCTTTTATTTCCTCGTTCTGAGTGAAATTTGTAGACAGACATGTAAACTCCATATCAGTTTCGAAAATTGTCTTTTGCATTTCAGCATCATTACAAATAGTGTCTTGAACATTATTGATACATGTAAACTCCATATCAGTTTCAAAAATTGTCTTCTGCATTTGGGTTTTATTACAAATAGTGTCTTGAATATTGACACATGTAAATTCCATATCTGTTTCAAAAATTGTCTTTTGCATGGCAGTATCATTACCAATAGTGTCTTGATCATTAACACATGTAAACTCCATATCAGTATCAAAAATTGTCTTTTGCATTTCACTGATAGTCTCTTGGACTTTGCCTTGTGAATCTAATGATGGCACATTGTTTGAGTCAGTATTGCTGATTATGGCCTCTTCGTATGTATGATCCCAAATTGTGTTGTTATCTGGATCGTCTAAAAACGGTTTGACGTTTCTACTGGCAGCAAAACTGACTCGTCTAGGCGGTGGCTGTAATGTGGCATCTTGGCATTCATTAGTAACATCCAAGTTACCACCAGGGTTTTGGCTTTGCCTTTTAAGTGAAGATCGTAGCTTATAATATTTTCTGGGCTGTTCTGATTGATCGTTGTCCATATTTGAGGGTGATTTCTGCTGAAAAATAGAATAGGCTATAGTAGGTTTGTGTTTACTGAAATAATATTTATTTTATTAACCTTTAGCTGTCCGCGCTCTAGAATCTCCTGTAGCTACCCGCGCGGTGTATTATGTAGGTACACCACATTTATGAATGTGTGATTGAGTGCATAAATCAATGTATAAGGATAACGAAATATTTTGCCTTGATTTGTCATACTAGGAATCGGTTTTTACCAATATATGCTCGAAAAATTTCAGAACTGGTACCAACTATTGTCCAGAGTTCCAAAAAGTGGGTATGATATTTGTTTCTTATATCCAGATAACAATAGCAAACCCACGAATGCTTGCATTGCACTAGAGTCTGGTGTAGTGCACTTAAGAAATTGGCAATAAACCAACTAACTTTTCAGCTACCAAAGCGCAACTGTCTGAGCACCTAGTAAAAACATCGGTCGAAGGTTACATCGAGTAAGGGATACCGGATAGGGTTTTTACCGCCCTCTTAGAAGAAATGGTATATTTTATACACCGGCGCGGGTAGGTAAAGGTTAACAAACAATATAATATGTATAGTGATTACATGCAAAGTAAAATAGACAATTGACAATTTATTACAGAACTGGTACTGGTTTGGATGGGGGTGATGATGGTTTGGTTGGTGGGGTTCAATTAGTTCGTAGCATCAATACTCCTCCTAGTCCTAATTTGATTTATGTTCAAAAAACCTTCTCCAATGGAACCACCGTCAGTTTGTTAGAGCCTAGGGAATGCCAGTCTTTTATAGACACTGGCAAAGTGGTGGATTGGGGGGATTTAGTGGAAAAGACCTAGCAGCTGCTCTTTCTGAAGCCTGGGCCAATAACGATAAAAATAACAGCTTGGGAATTGTTCAGCTTAATATTCACTCCTTAGGTAATAAAATCGACGACCTGCTTATTTTTCTTGAAAGCTTAAACATGCACTGGCTAGAGGAATGGAAACCTTGCAATGTTCCCGACTACTATACAGTTTCAAAATACTGCCGCGAAGGCTATTCTATGGAGGTACTATGATTTTGGTTAGTAGAGTTTTCTCTAATGCATACCACCTAGAGGAGGTTGATAAGTATGACCACCTGCTCCTTGAAAATAGTTTTGAATTTTCTATGGCTTTCAATAACAAATATAATTTGTATATTCTATGTATATATAGAACTCCTACTTTGTGGACTTCCTAATAAATTTGGAAATAATTTTAATGGATTTACCCAAGGATTTACTTATAAATGCAAAATTGTTTATGTCTGGTGACCTCAACATTGACTACTACAATCAGGACTGTCAGATTACACAGGCCTCAAAGAACTTATTTATATCATCTGGCCTCAATATGTATGTAGGCTCTTCAACAAGGATCACAAATACCACTGCCACAAGAATTGATTATTTTCGTATATACTCTTTAGAGAATAATGTTGAGTGCCAGGTTATGACAGTCGATTTTTCGGACCATGAGGCGCTGGTGGTCAGCTTTCCCTTTAAATTCAAAGATTCTGTATTTATCCCAAAAAAGGCAGGGAAAAATCTTTAGTAAAAATAATTTTGAAAAATTTGATAATGATTGAAGAAGTCGATTGGGAAAGTATTTTCCACTTTGAACCACCTATTGAGAAATTCCACACTCTTCTTACCCATTGCTTTGAACATTCATTTCCTTTATGCAAAACGAGGAAAAAAAATTAAAAAAAAAATCATGGATACCAAGAAGCATTAAGACAGCATCGAAAAACTTAAGATCCTTGTGCTATATTAGGAAGTTTATAAATAGAGAGTTTTTGGTGAATTATACGGCAAGGTATAGAAGCATTTATCGACAGGTAATTAAAATAGCCAAAACACAAAATGTCAGTTTCTTTTATATTCCTCTTCACTGTACAAATTATGGTTTTAATACGCCTATGGATAGATACTCTAGAGTTGTTAATGATCATCACATTGAAATATTTGGTATATCTTTGAGAGACTTCAAAAAGCAATTTGATGGTGTCACTTTTTAGGGTTCTATGCTTTTTGGGTTTTGGTTGTGGTTTTACTTACTATATTTAATGGGCTAGTATTAAGAGGGATTGTTTTGGTTAGTTTGGAAATGTTTTATGTATAATCTATATTCATAAATTTATATTTTGTTAATTGTAAACTGTTAATGGGGGTTTCCCGTAAATAAATAAATTTAAAAATAAATAAATAAATAAATATAAAGATTTGTATCTTTAAACAATAAAGCATATTTTGATTTGATTTGAAAGCCAAGTGGTTAGAAATGGTCAGACATCAGATTTAAAAACACTATCATGTGGGGTACCGCAGGGGTCCCTGCTTGGACCTGTTTCATTCTTGTTGTACATCAACGACCTAGCAAACGTAAGGAAAGATGGCTCACTTTTGAATTTTGCGGATGACTCCACAGTGAAATGGCATAGCAAGGATCAGGCAGTTCTCAAAAACATAGTAACAAGGGACATACTTAGAATTAAAAACTGGTGTGATGCCAATGACTTTTGCCTTAACATTGATAAGACAAAAATGTTGAGCTTCAAATTTGATACTGATGATATCGAATTGGAGGACGGGATAATTAGGAATGTACAAAGTACAAAGTTTCTCTACGTGGACGACCAATTAAAGTTTGATGTACATGTTGTTGCCTTAAATAAGAGATTGGTGTCTGGTTGTTATGCTGTGCGAAAAACTTTTACAGAGCAGAGCTGGGTTGCGATATTGCTAAATCTACCTACTATGCACTTATCGCTCGACTTATCGAGTTCAAATCAAATCAAATCAAAATAAGCTTTATTGTCGAAAAAATAATTTCATTGACAAAGCGGTAACATTTACAATACGTAAAAGAGAAAAAATAAAATAAAATAAAGAAAAAAGTTATTACTGTATCAATACATTGAGCGCTCAATTTGAGATTGACAAACTACCATTGAGAATACATTCTAATAAAATTATCGTCAAACAATAAAATAATAAAACAATAAAACAATAATAATCACATAGTAAAATCAAGTAAAATCATTAGCACAGTTTAAAACAGGAGGTAAAAAAAGAAACAAACAAAACACCTATAAAATACCTACATACATATATCTATATTCGTCTAAATTGTCATTAAAAAATTCGTCTAGGTTATAATAGGCCTTATTAACCAGCATTTCCTTTACGCTCCTTTTAAATACATTAAAATCACCAATTGATTTTATATTTGTGGGCAACTTGTTGTATATTTTAATTCCGCGATAAATTACTGAGTTTTGTGTTAGTGTAAATTTGGGAATAGGTAAAGGAATATTTGAACCATATCTAGTTTCATGTGCATGTAAACTTGTGTTGCCCCTGTATTTTTTAAAAATAATACATGCAGTTTCAAGTATAAACAAGGATATAACTGTCAAAATATTTTCTCTTTGAAATAGTGGTTTACAGTGATCTCTTAGCTTTGCTCCACAAATATATCTCACGCATCGTTTTTGTATGGTAAAAACCGACTGAAGCAAAATCTGGCAGCAATTTCCCGATAATACGATTCCGTAGCGCAGGTGTGATTCAACTAATGCAAAATATACTTTTTTAGCCATTTGAGAACCTAGTTCAAAATAAGTCTTCCTCACACCATAACCACCCCTAGAGATTTTTCTGTTTAAATTGGCAACATGTTCTGTAAATTTCAGTTGGTCATCAATGAACATTCCAAGAAATTTTATATTTGGTCTTTGTTCAATTCGTTGCCCATCCAGATTAAGACCATCGAAATCCATCTTAAAGCCCAGTACTTTGGTCTTATCAATATTGAGGCACAAATAATTTGCGTCACACCATTTTTTAATTAACTTTATATCATCATTTACAATTTCCTTTAACACATGTTCATCCTTATGATGCCATAAAATTGTTGTATCATCTGCAAATATAGTTGTAAGTCCCCGAATATCCAGAAGACTCAAATCATTTATATACAAGAGAAATAGAATGGCACCCAGAACAGAGCCTTGCGGAACTCCTGTATCGACCTTCATTGTTGAAGAAAGTGATGTGCTATTTTTAACTTTTTGATAACGTCTTGTTAAATATGATTTGAGATACGGCATTTCGTTTTGCGGTGAGCGGCGAGCGATGTGCGGTGAGCGATGAGCGTCGACGTAAAATATTTCGAACAATGAAGTTTAGATTAGTGCGCGTTCACATTGACACCGCTCGAGCGGTGAGCGTTGTGCGATGCCGCTGTAGTGATGCCCAAAAATAATTTTAACATTATATTTCAAATGAACATGTTCACACTGGATCGGTGCGTTGCGCGGTATTAACATGTTCATTTGAAATTTAATGTTAAAATTTTATTTTGGGCATCGCTACAGCGGCATCGCGCAACGCTCACTCACACCGCTCGAGCGGTGTCAATGTGAACGCGCACTTAGAGTGTGTACATTGCAATGAGCGGTGAGCGTTGGCGTTGCGCGGTATCGCATCGCGCCGCTTTGTTTTGGTTTTTGATCGAATTGCAAGCGGCACCGCGACACGAATAGAGTAGATTGGAATGTAAATTGATGCTCGCAGGCACCCTTTTAATCTGTCTTCTGTTTTCCCAACAAGATGCTATCGACAGGGAGTATTAATTTCCGAGTTTCAATCAAGAACTGTTTTATGGATTGATAAAAACAAAAATTACAAAAAACTGAAGTGTCCAAAAAAGAGTGGCGGAGGTTAATTGTCGCTACTGTTTGGAGAGAGAATATAGTCACTGTAGGTATTTGGTTTTACTTACCTTAAAGTTACGTAGAGAACAGGCTTCGAAATCGAAAGAAATGTACCAATTTCAAGAAACCAATTTACAAGAGGAAATACTCTACGTAGCCAAAGGGCTAAATGTAGTCGAAAGTTTTGATGGACACACGAAGGAATATCACGTGAAATTTGGTTTTTACAACTTTGGAAGCTTTTGGAGAACAAGCAAAGGATAACAACATGGCA